GTTTTTTTAATTAAGCAACGATGAAGAAAAAGAATGGTAGACCAACACGATTGAAAAGTTAATTGAGAAAATATAATTAATTAATGGATCGAAAAGTTAGTTAAGAAAACATATCAGTCAATGGTTTCTTTACATGTATTTAATTGGTTGCGCGAGCTATTGAGAAAAATGCTACTCAATGAATTAATTACTAACACAATACATGGATTATATTAACACATTAAGTGCTGTGCTATTTATTGAATTACACTAATTAATCTGTCAAGATATTTATTTGGTCGTGTTTCTCTATCTGAAGAGAAAATACTGATCTGTCACATTTATTGGAAAAGAAGAAAGATGAACAATGAGAATGCCACAGTCCCCTCCCATACTCACCCCATGCGCATCTTGCACAGTGTAATGATCAAGTCCTATGCCTAGAGTTACCATCACGCCCATGAGAGGACCAGAGAGATGCAAGAAAAAAGGCCACTTGCCGATTCCCAAACTAAATTATGACGTAAACATCTCGATAGAGATAAGAGAGGAGGCAGCCTGGTCGCAATCGTTTCAATTGCTTTACAACTGCATTCAATTAGAATTTTGAAATGATATGAGCAACCACCCCCACAACACTCGAATTAATGGCGTTGTTTCTCTAAAGCATCACATCTCAAATTGTGTGATTAGTCAAGTATTCTTGATCGGTTGTCACTTCTTCTTTTTTAAACTTTCTTATAAATGACACATCAATACACCAACTAGTGTGTATAAATTACTATAGAAACATTCAAAAAATAAAAATAAAACCACTAGACCGCGCCAGGCTAGCTAGATGCCAAACTGCGCTCAGGTCTTAATTCAAATCGACTCCAATTGAGCCTGAAGTCAAATCAGGTGCAGGCTTGTCCTCCAAACAACGAAGAACCAGTTATGACATGGTTCAAAAGAGAAACTGGTGATGATGATCTAAACGAATTCCATGAAAACCCTACTTGCTAGCTGGCCGTAAATGTGTGTGTGTGTGAGAGAGAGAGAGAGAGAGAGAGTAGAAGTTGACAAAGTTGGTGGGTAGAGAGAGAAATAGGAGGGGAAAGAAGAAAAAAAAGCAAGGCGGGTGGCAAGAACGGGGGACACTGTCGGGGCAAGCGCGTAGTGGGTAGATACGTGTTATGAGGTGGAGAGAGGAGAAGGGAATCGGCTCGCCACATAAGAACGGCGGTGCTTTGAACGAATCGAATATTAACGGGTCCATCCTTGTAGATTCTCTCTTTTGTTTTTATCTCCACTGTCTTTCCTTATTAATTATTTTTTAAAATAATATACTCTTAATACAACATGTTTGTAATCAACTTCTGTCTCTTTACCCTTCTATTTTGAGCTTATTCGTCAAACCCCCCCTCTCTTCCCTTCCACGTCCATTTCTTCCTCTCCATCAAATGACATTTTGGAACCTAGCTTTTCACAAAGAACGCAAAAGAGAGGGCCTCGCACCCTTTGGCCCTTCTGTCATTCTCGCCTTTTATTTCCCTGTGCACTAACGCCAACAGAATCCTCTCAATGTACAAGAGTTATTACTAACTGTTATATTTTATGATTTTGATCACATCAAACTTGTTTCCATGTCTTTTCCAAAAGAGTGGATGCTATGGGAGGTGGTGAAGGGTGAATCTCAGCTTCCACTAACATGTGTGACACGCGAGTGATGTAAGTTTGCTGCCATATCATCACAAGAACCAAGGAAACAAGAAATATAATCAGTGTGAAAACATGTTGTCAAAGTATTGGTCCAAAGATAATGGTGATAAAAATAACAAAAGGCCGGAAGAGGAAAATGGCAATTGAGAAATTGCTCCATGCCCACCATTCCAGAAAACAATACACTCGTAGTAATATAGAAATCAAGATAGCATTTAGCCATTTACACACCCCCCCCCCCCCCCAAAGCACAAGATAGACCACGGGATTCCACTTTCAAATGGATAATCAGTCAAGACAAGACCCTGGGGCACACATGATTTCACGTGAACAACAGCATTTTCTCATTGGCAAAAGTTCTCACAATGATGCACAAGTGACTTGAAGACGTGACAAATGCTTTCTTTTCACACCATCCACTAGTGGGAACCTTTTTCGCAGGTTCTCCACGAAGCAAACATTCCTGATCCCGTATTCTTGAATTGAAAGATGCAGTGCAGACTTAGCATTTTAACTCTTTCAAGATACAGTGCTTCACAGAAGAAAAAAAGATTCGAGGTCACAGCTTGATATCTTTAGTGTAACCAGTCCTCAAGGTGACGACCTTTAATCAATGAGTTTTGTTTATGCTTTATTCCTTGGCTATCAAACACGTTTTGGAGGAAGAAAATTCCAAGCCAGTCATGCAAAATGATACCTTCAATCAATGATGGGTCCAACGTAAAAGAAACATGTCATTTAACGCTATCGCGGTTTTTTGTGCACATCAGACAGATGATAAGCCTCTAAACTCAAAAGACCCGTGAGAAATAACTGCCACCCAGAGAATGTGACTATTTGAAGGCAAATATCAAAACATTGACAAGGAGATCGTCAAGCTTTGATTCAGCATAAGACATTTTTAATCTAAATTTTTTTCAACATTCTTCCATGTAAAATTTCCTGCAGGAAACCTTCGAATATTTGCACCATGGCAGCAACACTTCAACCGATGAACTCAGCATTTCTTTTTTGGCATTAAAAACAATTAATAGCATTCAAGTTCCATCACACAAGGTCACAAGAAGAGGATTGATATGTCATGCCAGACTATTACAACTCATGAGCTATCCAACATTCTGGCTAGCGTCTTACACCCACCAGTTTGATGGCACAGAGAACAAAGGAACATACCGCATGTTTCATAAACAAAATCATGTTGCAACTTGCAAGAGATCAAACATGATGTGAAAGTTTCCTCGACCTTATGGTCCTAGCAAGACCGCATTGCATGACAAACTTATTTTTCCATGTGGCCACAACTTATAATTCCACTTCTACTTTGTGCAATTCTAAGAAAAACCCGCGCTTAAAAAGCAAATCACGTATAGGAGGTAAACTAACTGGCCCCCAGTTACCACCCACGTCCATGACAAAGTCAAGAGAATCTAAAGAACAGAAAAACCAAAAAAAAAAAGGTTGAAAGAAAACCTACTCAAACGGAAGAGGAAATGGGGTGGAAATGCAAATTAGAAATCCTGTGAAGAAAATTAGTAGAAAGAACTTGTATTTTGCAAAACTATTTCCATTTCTTCAGCAAGGAGCACACAGGCTGCCAGAGCAAAATGTAAATGAGTAAATTCATCTCAAGCAAAATTCCCACTTCAGATGGGCTCAAGTTAAGTACATATAAGCCACTCACTGCTCTGTCTTGATAAAATGCAATGACAGGAGCTTTGAGGCTGTGAAGCCATTGAAGGAGTCAACCTCAGATATTTCTTTTAGCTTCTTGTCGCAAACAATTCTCCTCTTGCCAGCTGGATCCTTAAGAAACAATTATAAAACTCTCAGTAAGATAAAGTTGCAGGTGCCTGAATTTGACAGAAGTCTAAAACAAAAAAAGAAAGAGTAAAGCTTATCATTTACCAAATGCATCAATATGATACAGCCAGATATTATCATAAGAAAAAACCTGAAAAAAAGGTCCAGGGCTTAGCAGGGTCATGAAAATTAAACATAACCACACTTCAAAAGGACGTGTTATGTTTGCTAGGAGCAGAAGGGTGGCAGGCCCAGTCATGACTGGAAGTGTCTTCAGCCGAGAAGTTTAAAATTCATCAGTACCATCTCAGAGGGTTAACTTCAGATAAAAAACATTGAAATTCAACCTTAAGATGTGATTTGCATTTATAAATTAGCTTCAGCTATCTTTTCCTCACTATTCATTAACACACCATATGATTGTGGATAAATAAAAAAATTGGCACTGAAAGATCATTGTTTTCTCTTTTTGAAAAGGAGGTGCATTGCACTTGTACGTATTCATGCCTTGCAATTCAGATCCTGAAGATCTCCAAGTTACCAGCACTCTGATTGTTGTAAGGGTGCATTTCGCAATTCGTAGCAAAGTTGGTTTTTCCTTATCTTGCTGGAGACCAAATCAGGACTAGATTTCTACAAGAAAATAGATAAACCATGTAACTGATGATACCCTCCACTCAAAAAGCTTTATTGAAAACTTCAATAAAGATCGTAGGATGAAGAGAAGATTCTGAAACACACGCACACACATCCATCCACATCCACACTTGATTATATATACATGTTGATGATACCCTCCACTCAAAAAGCTTTCTTGAAAACTTCAATAAAGATCGTAGGATGAAGAGAAGATTCTGAAACACATGCACACACATCCATGCACATACACACTCGATTATATATACATTCAACATGTAAACAAGACATGGCACGCACAAAATTTAAGCCTTGGGTCAAGCTCAAACTCAACACAAGCTTGGCTGGTATGAGTGTCACCAAGCCAAAAGCCTGCTCATAATATTTATTATTAGTCACTTCTCACTCTCTTATTATTAATTGTGACCTTCAGTCCTCCAATTTATTCTTTGTAGTGTATCTATATTTGCTTTATGCGTATAGTCACAAGCTTATTTCCTGAGCATGATATTGTGCAAGCTTTACCAGCATGCTTGGCAGCGGATCAATTAACTGAAGTTGGCGAAACAGTGTCCATGAAAAACTGTTCATCTACCCAACTTGTTCACTGCATGAAGGTTCAGTTGCTAATGGAATTTATGTACATTCATGGTAGTTACATATGAAAATCAAAATTATTGAAAGGTCAGAACAAAATCTTGATCAGGAATTTGAAGGGGAGCAAGGAGATCAGAAATACCTTTCTTCTGCTGCTTTTCTTTCTTTTTAGGTTCATGAGGAACTGCACAGTGAGAAATAACATATCGTCATTATTAGAGGTACAGGATTAATGCTCAATTTTCTTATGCGAGTAGATTGTGCAACTACTGAGAGAATAAAAGTACCTTTCTTCTGCCGCTTTTCTTTCTGTTTAGGTTCATCAGGACCTGGACAGTGAGAAATAACAAATCATTACTATTAGAGTGCCAGGATTCATGCTCAATTTTCTTATGTGAGTAGGTTGTGCAACTACTGGGAGAATAAAAGTGTTGGTATAGCTACTAGTCTCACCTTCTTCTCTTCCTTGTTTAATCCCCTTTTTCTTTGGTGAAGAGTTGCTTGGAGCTATGAGATCAGGACAAAACATTTTACTTAAACTAAAACATTCTCACATTCTCAGTTAATAAATAACTCCATTTTTTTTATGAAACAAAGGAGAATACTTGGGTTGTGATTTAGTGTTAACATAACAAAAGAAATTTGCACTATATTTTTGACAACTGCAATTTGATAAAATCAACAATTTAATGAGGAAAGGTAAATGAGAAAAGGAACTATTCAGTTCATAAAACACCTAAATTCATTAAGCTATCTATGATAAGAGCATACTAGTTGGGGCCATCTACATTTAAATTAGAGTCGGCCAGAGGTAAGAGAAAAGAAGTATTTGACATTTTGCCAGCAACTAATATGGAGATAAAGAAGTTCCTGGCTCATGTAAAGCTATTCCAAACATGCTTTAAAACTTCTTCCTCGTAGCTGATCCATCAATTCTTTATATGATAACTTGAAAACCTTATCAATTATGTTCATGACCACTTCACAAAATCTTCTACATAAAACAAAAGGAAGAAAAGCAGTTTGGAAAATGAGAAAATCTACATTGATTAAATCAAAACCATGCAACATGTGCAAAGAGGGATATCACTAAAATGTTTTAATCATTCATCTAAAATATGTGAGTCACTAATCAGTTCAAAAGCCGAAAATTAAACATCATGAAGGTTTTTAATAACCCATTGATAAAAGAGATCCTCTTTGAGAATGGAACAAGAACTACAAAATTTTAATTATAAAATGCCAAATATTAAATTAAGGTCACTCTCCGCAAGAAATTCGCCATGAACTTCACGAGGAGACCACCAATTTTAAAATGAGAGTTTAATAGAACCTTTAAAAGTTATGAAACCTAGCTGAAGGATAAACTAGCTTGCTCTCACTGAGATGTATAGTGTCGGTAGTTAGGATCAACTTCTAAGACAATAAAGGCCACACTGCCTGGAAGTTGAGAACTGCACTGAATGAGAGCACACGCATGGGTATGAGATATGTTTGACACAACTATATTACACATTTTATCATGTTTTTTGCCTAGCTCCCCAGTAATATAGTTGCCTCTTCATCTTTAAGTAGTGGCAATCAGATATTCAAGCCCCAGATGCATGTAACAACAATTATCTCCCTGTCCAAAAAAAAAAATAACAGCCTGCAGAATACACCAGCCAAGTTCTTTTTTTCCATGGACAGAAAGTAACTTTAAAGAAGGAGAACCACAACCCCTATCCTTATTTTCATGAACTGAAAGGAGATTGTGCATGCATCACATAAAAAAAGAGTTCATTCTGTTATTTATTGCTTCAATCAAGCAATTTTGAGATGTTCAAAAAATTAAATAATGAATGATTTGCTGAGATCCCCTGTTCCAAATTTGACACATCAATTAGAAGTATGTCTTTCAATATGGAGACTAAAAGCCAAAATTGATTTCAAACTTAAGTAAACGACCAACTTTGGTTTAAATCAAGAAAGCATTTAATTATGGTGAAGATGAAGGAGCTGAGGTTTCTGGAAAATGGCATTGACAAAGACTTCCTTACTGTACTATAAATTGAAAAGAAAAGCTCGCTAGCACACACATACCATCTTCCTCACTGACAGCCCATATGTGTTTAGTCAATGCTTTATTCATTTGAAACATGTCAATAGAATCGACATCGAAAATAGAACGCAATGATTCATCACATATTATGTTTCGCTTATTCTTTGGATCTTGCAAGTTCTTCTCCCGGATATAGGCCCAAAGCTTCTTCACAACCTACCAAAACAAAAGGGAAAGGGAAAAAAGCAAGTAGGAAATATAATTTACAAAAGGACTCCTAAATGATCATTCTGCAAGTCAAGCAAGTATCCAGACATTCATTAAAATACCCCAGTTCTGGCGAGTTCTGGAACTCCAACAAACTCTTGAAGTTGAGGAGAAAGACTGCACAATTTAGTAAAACCACCTCCTCTTTTCTTAACATCCTCATCCACCTTAGCAGACCTGCTCGATAAGATAAGATCATTCAGTCCATAGAACAACCACAAATATTCTATGTAATGGAATGAGAATGCTATTCTAATCCTAATGTTTCCTAATATCTGTCTAGGACTGCCAGTCACAGAAAGCCCCATACCATCCATTCGGTAACCATACAAACATGTAGAAAGGTTATGACAACTAATGCTTTTCAGCACCTCAAACAAAATTTCTTCAGGGCAAGAATGGCAGGAATTTGGCTATGAAAAGCTAACCACCTCATCACTTTCAGAGGTCATATTTTAAGGATGAAGTTGCTTTTAGTCATAAAAAAAACTCAACTCCTAAAGTATCCATATCATAAGTTAAAGAGAGCATGAGTAATTTCCACTCTTTCAAACAGAGGAGCGTTAGTAACCTCAAAATAATGGCAAACAAGAATAGCAATTCACTCATGGAGAAAAAAAGGAATAAAAAAGGATACAAGAAACCCACCGTCCTTTCTTGCTTCTTTCATTACTCTCTTTCTTTACCTCTTCCTCGTCATCCTCTTGTTCCCCTCCATTGTCTCCTTCAGACCCAGAATCATTAATGTCTTTGCTTTTTTCTTTTTGCTTTACACTTTCTGATAGTTCAATGATATCATTGGTTAATATATCAGCCAAACAATCATCTGATGACACATTAAGAAGAGATCTCTAAAGGTAAATAATGAAGAAGATTACAATGTACCATAAGGAAATAAAGTGGAAGTTCAATAGGAAGCCTGTTTGTAGTAGTTGAAGTTGAAAGTGCAGAAAATATAAACATCCTAATGTAGTCCAAATACTGGGGAAAAGGATTAGTTTCCCTGGAATAATAAAGTGTAGCACCACAGCCAAAGGAAAGTGAAGGAGGATGGTAATATCAACCCAGGAAAGGGAAAGGAAAAAAAAAAATCATAGTCAAAATAGCTGACGAAAAAAAATTGTCAAACCAGTCAGATTATAAGAAAAACTCTCCCACCACAGTTTTTTTTTTCTTTCTTTTTTCTGGGTATATAAAACCTACACTGACAAATTTAATTGCCAAAGCAAAATAATCCAGGTTTCCAAAATTAACAGAACACAACATAATTAGAACAGAAAACAAGTATACATACAAATCCTAAGCAACCATACATATTGAAAGCACGAAGATACTACTAACAACCAATAATAACTAACCACCCACTGTCCCCCACAGAAAGAAACAAAAGAGAACAACTTATTCAAGAAAGTACCATTTTCTCCAGTTAATGGCCAGATATGCTTGGACAGGGCTTTATTCATTTGAAACATATCAATTGAATTTACATGAAAGACAGCGCGCAATGCCTCATCACATTTTATTTTTTTCCTATTCTTTGGATCCTGCAAATTGTTTTCACGGATATAGGCCCAGAGTCTCTTCACAACCTGGAATAACAAAAGTAAGGAGAACAAAAGTGAGATCCTGATCCAGGAACTACCACCAGGACCGACCTCCAGAAATAAATCATCTTGTTGGTGATTGGCATACCTCAGTTCTGGCCAATTCAGGCACTCCAACAACTGCTTGAAGTTGCGGAGATAAGTTACTTAACTTAGCAAAACCGCCTCTTTTCCTCACCTTTTCTATCTTGTTTGACCTAAAAGACAGATAACACAAGCATACGAAGCATGATTAATAAGAAACCTGTATTTGGAATGATTGGCTATCTGACACACATTCAATTCAAAATGTAATGAAATGAACACCTATTTTCGATGTGTGTGTGTGTGTGTAAAAACAAACAGAAATCAATCAAGCCTATGAAATGAAACTCAAGTATTAGGAATTCAAAATTAACCCCCCTAAAATACAAAAGAAAGCCAGTGCAACAACTAGATGAAAGAAATGATCAATGCAAATTATAAAGCACTGAAAGTAGAGATGATACACCCGTTACTAGTCCGCCATTAAAAGGTCATTTCTTATAACTCATGAAAGACAAAATGGCATAACTAGACTGTATTACTTAAATCTACAAAAAGGCCACCTCTCTCATATTCACATCCCAATATTGAACCAACAGACACAAAAATTCATATGATTTCACTTCCAATCTAAACTCAAAGTAAATCATATACAACCCTCACATCTAATATCATCCCAATTTAATCCCAAATAATCTCTAAGTAGCTTAACATGATTCATTGCCCACAGTTAAACTTGGTGCTTTCATTTTCTTATAAATTGAAACATAACAGAAACCATAGTACAAAAACTAACTTTAGCCTATACGACTCATAAGACACAAATGTGACATTTCTTGACCTAATTAGAACTACATAATAACACCACAAAAAACTTATCCCAATTCCTAAAAAAAAAAAAAACAAACCCGATCAATTTTTACATCAATGATAAACAACAGATCTATATATCTAATTTCCAGTTCCAAGCAATAAAAAACCTAATTTCCTTCCAAAAAAGAAAAATTACAAGCAATTTCCACATACATGCGGGGTTAATTTCATTCATTACACACTATATTGCTTGTTTAATTAAAAATAAATAAATAAATAAAGAAGACAACTTTCGAAAAAAATTACCCCTTGCTTTCCTTTGTCTCACTATCTTCTTCTTCTTCTTCTTCTTCTTTAATACCGTCGTTTTCATTTTCATTTTCATCGTCTTCAACGGTGTCGTTTTCGTTATCTTCATTTTCTGTCACATTCCCTGACTGACCATCTCCTTTATTTAGGGTTTCAAGAAAAGTATCGATTTGCTCTCTAATAAATTTTTTTTTCTCCGATAAATCAACGCCGAAATCCTCCTCTAACTGCCGCCGTATACTGCCGGCAGTGGCCGTGTCTAAGTCCGAACTCCGGAGTATTTCACGGAGCCGGGCCACGAGGTCCGAATCCGACACCATTTCTCTCGATTCTTTCTTCTCTTCTCGGACTCGGCAACGATTTTCTTTCTTTATTTTATTTGATTAATTTTTTATGTTGTTTCAGAAGTGGCGTCGGTTTCTCATGCAATGCAAGGTCAGGTAGCGTATCACGCAAAAAGGCATGAGGTGTGTAGGGGTATTTCTGGAATTATGAGAAAGCGATCCTCAATTCACAACTGAAAAGTATTTCTGGAAATATAAGCAGCAGTTGCAATTTAATGTTTTTCTTTCTTAAAAATATATTTAAATAATATTTTTTTATTTTAAATAAATATTTTTAACATTATCATATTAAAATAATCTAAAAATAAAAAATAATTAATTTTAAATAAAAAATAAATTTTATTTTTTAAAAAATATAGTTTCAACATGTTAAAAACACCTCCTAAATCTAACTCACCATCAAAAATTAAATTTCAATGGTTTCAATCCATTTATGCATCCAATACTAAATTTAGATAATTCTAATTATTTTTTTAAAAATATATTTATTTCTCAAAGATATACATTATTAAAAATTAAAAAAACTAAAATAATACCAAAACAAATAAAAAATGCTCCTTCATTTCTAGATGAAACATTAATGATGGATCCCTGTATATAATTTTTTTTGTATAAATATTTTTCTTATAACTGAAACTGTGTAATTGGCCTGCCCCACCATCCACATCACCCAATCCGAGTTATTGAATAACATTATTTAAGTTATTTGTATTTTTGTTTACAAAATAGTTTTCATTATTTTTCTTTTTTAAAAAAGAAGAATAAAAAGCCCAACCCGACTGAATCCGAAAAGGGCCTGAGACAATCTGACCAAGTCCAGAGCAGGGGCATAATGTGGTTTTGCTGGCCCAATTCAAGCTAGATCCTTCCACTGAGCGGTCCACCAGCACGGAGACCCCTGTGCTGTTTGTCTTCAACATAAATTCCAATATTTACCTGTAAAATAAAAGGTACGGAAAAAAATTATAACTTGCAGAAACTTGCCGCAGATCCTAGATGAACTGTTCAAAAAAACCAAACTCAGTGAAGAGCTTTAACATGCTACGTAGCCAGCAGAAACTTGGGCTCTACAGCTTCCCAGACAGGCATCTAACTGTCATGAAGCAAATAGCAAGATGAGGAGCAGTCCGCAAGCAAAGTCAGTGCTCTCAGAAAATATAGATCCAAGTCTCCGTTTTTTTTTTTGTTAAAAGAAGAATGTGGAGCCCTTCAGAATATAGAACAATTAAGTACCATACCAAAAGTTGAAAGACAGTTTCCAGAGAAGAAATTGCTGTGTCTCAGCAAGTACATGCACTTCAAATTTTAAATGATGCTCGTAAACAATTTCAGGATTGCTAATACAAAGCGTAATACTTTAGCACTTCAGAAATGACATGTTACCGCGCTTCAGACCATTTTGCCTTTTGACACTAACACCAAGGCTGCACGAGCAGTTGGACGGGCCTGTTCTCATTACCTCCCCCCTTTTTTTTTAAATTTTCATAATCATACTTTATTTAGTACTATGACTGAATTTTGGATTATAGAGAAATAAAAATACTGGATTTTCACTATTTACTTCAGGACTGAAGTATAAATCCTTCAGCTTCCAAACCCACCCTGCATCTTCTCCCCCCTGGAAGTATTTCATACGCTGTACAAAAATAGATATGGGAATGAGCTATAACCAAAAACAATCTAGTACAGAGCATATCACTTGATCAGGCCTCATCACATAATCCCATGGAACATTCAAAAGGTAGCAAGTAATGGCTGCGAAGTAAGGTAGGAAGTTCAAACTGGCACAAACCATTCAAGTCATAAGAATTACTTCCCATGTAGCAAGGTAACATGTCATATCTTTAGCAACTTTCATATTCAACAACTTTGATGCTGAAGTTAGAACTAAAAACTATAACATTTTGCCTAATACACGTACAAAAGGTCCTATAAACTGTCCATGTCGCTGTCCTCAGATGCCTCCTCGTCAAAATCAGACCCACTATCAAAGTTCATATTCTGAAGTTCTTCCATGTTATTCTCCAAGGTAGGATCACCAGCTTTTAGCAAATCTTTCAAGTCATCTAATATATAAGGTTCTACCAATTTCCAGAACCATGTAGAAACGCTTCCAAGAAAACCTATCCAAAACACTTTCCCCTTTCTCTTCACCCTGCAATCCAGAGATTTTGATTTCAATGTTTTGACAACCCTTCCAACACCCTTAACACTCCCCTTTAGCTTCAGCACAATATCCCCTGATGATGTTCTGTGCCCCCCATACATATACCAGTATGCAAGAACCTGAGGCGACATCCACCTGTGGATTAGCTTAGGCAGCTGAGGCTGGCCTCTTGGCCAAAACTGTTCTGCATAGAAATCAAAACAAGAGTGCGAGATGGTACAAAATCTCCAAGGGATGTCATCACTATCACTATCATCGCTAGGCTTACAAGATGGATGTAACCACTCATGGTACTGGTCATGTAAGTGTCTCCTCAAAATGGAATGCATGATAGAATTCTGATTGAACTCGAATTGAATCATGTGTTTCTTCCCATCTGATTCAATTTGCAAACCACCTAAGAACAAACCCACTAAAATTTCTCTTTGCTCTTTGCTAAGCTTGAGTCTAATAGGCCTCCTTGCCACTTTCCTGCTTGAGCTCAGAACAGAGTCAAGCTTTTCCATCAATGAGGAATCAATATCGTATTTCTTTTGGCACATAAGATCATATATCCTTTCTGCCTTCACATGGTATCCAGAAGAGAGGTATTCTCTTAAAATAGTATTGCATGATCTGGCATTAACACCAATCGCTTCATTATTGCGCATGTGGTTAAAAATCTCCTCAGCTTTGTCAAAATTACCGACTTTCACCAAAGAATCCAAGTAGATCATGTAGACAATCCGGTTGGGTCGACATTTCTCAAGGCATGCAGAGAAGGCTGATTCTAATTTATCGTGCAAGTTTAAATTAAAGTACATGTCCATTATAGAAATAAAAGATGGTGTTAGCGGCTTCATACCACTCTGAACTAGCTCTTGCATGAGTGACTCTGCAAGTTCCACTTCTCCAGCCTTACATAAGACTTCTATAATTTTATGATACGGTACGACATTGTAAGAACTTAAAACCTCCTGCATCTCTCTGAATGTCTCAAAAGATTTCATAGGTTCTCCTGCCTTTGAAAAGACTTCCATTCTACACACAAAAGCATGTGAAGAGAGACCTTCATCAAGACGGACGAGTTTGAGCCAAGTCCTTTCTGCTTCCTCCACGTCACCATCCTTTGCACAAGCTCTCAAGACTGAAACGAGCACTTCTTGGCTCTCCTCTACTCCCGCTTGCCTCATCTCTTCCCTTAGTGATGTGATTCTTTCTTTATCTATAGTGTCCTGATAGCTATGTAGCCAGATGAGACCACCATAAATATCCCTCTGCAACTCAAGTCCACATGTCACCAAATTATGATAAATAAATTCAGCCTGTTTGAGATGATGTTTTGCAATGACCCCTGGTTTGCTCACAAGAGCCCTAAACAAAGAATTGTGCAAACTAAGTCGTGGCCGGTACCCTCCCAACTGAATCATCCGATTGTAAATGCTGCATGCCTCCTCCAGGCTACCTTGAACTGTCGTACTAAGATATGCAATGACAAGGATATGAAAAGTTGATTCACTGGGAACGCGTCCCTGACTGATAATATCATCAAATATCTCCCTGCATTTCGCAAACTTCCGCTCCTTGCCCATGTAATCTGCTAACTTAGTGGACAACGCAAAATCAAATCGATACCAATGCTGCTGCATCATCCATTTATACACCTAACAATAACCAAAAGAAAAAATCTCAATAACCAAACTCTCCCTTTCTCTGTTTCGCTCTAACGATTTAGATAAAAACTCCAGCTTAATCCTAAAAGGTTCTAGCTTTACAACAGCATAATTCACAAGTCAATATCTCCACTATCATTTTCCTATGCGATACTAAATTTTAGTAATTGCCCATTTAAATTAATATCACAACTCGTCAAGTCTCAGTATCTAAACATTCAATCATCGTAAAAAAAAGACACTAAGAACTAAGATGTTAGCGCTGCGGAACAAAAAATTGAAAACCCAGGTGTGATTATAAATAGTACCCTAAACCCTGTCTCGTTTTCGCGTATTCGAGTGCAATGCACTACAATATAAGTAGCATCTTCCTGCCTTATCCACTTCCTCTGCCCATTAAGTATCCTCACTGCAGTGGCTGGCTTATGCGCCGGCAACTCCTTACACAACCACGCCAATTTCGCTCTCCTCCACTGCTCCGGCAACTCCGCTAGCTCCTTCACCTCCAGTTCCGGAGCATCCAAGTGCTTCCCATCCCCTCCAGCACCAGAAGTTCCCAGCCCATCATCGTCAAATTTAAAAGTTTCCCTCTCATTTTCATCAAAATCCAATATCCCTTCAGATTGAGAATCGCTTGCCAACTGTTCGACAGAAGTACTGAAACACTTTGGGGTTGAAATTGGGTGAAGTGTTTGGGGGGTGTTAATGGGTTCGGGGAAGTGGATGCGCTGTTGTTGGCGGAGGGAGAGGGAGAGGGATGGGGAGAAGAGGGAAGTGCGCATAGGTGAAGTGAGGGTTAGGATGTCGGGTACTGCAGGGTTTAAAGGGGGTTTATTATGGTGGTAGAAAGTGATGAGAGAACGGGCTTGAGCGCCTTTGAGAAGCATTGGATGTTGTTATGGGTTTAAGCTTCCAGTTCTGACTAGGGTGGGCAGGGAAGGGGTATTAGTGCAGACTCGAAAGGCGAGTATAGGTCAGGAAGCTCTGTGCCTTTGGTGGCTCCACCTTCTCCTTCCTTTTTCTTTTTTCTTCTTAAACGGTAATCAAGTTGTTGATTAATTTTATAAATTTTTAAATTAATTATTAATATTTTTTAAAAAATTAATATAAATATTCAAACTAGTTTTTATGTACCACATTAATTTTATTAATCATAAAATTAATAACTATATAAGTTTCTAGTAATTATTATATGATCAACTAATAATTCAAATTTAAAATCACAAAGAAAATAAATTTTTTAGTTTTAAATTTTTATTATTTAACTACTATTTAAATAATTAATAATATTTTAAAATGATGAGTGATAATTTTTAAAAATTAATTT